TGTGCCTGTAGTCGCAACTACTCAGGAGGCTGAGGCAGGAGGATTGCTTGAACTTGGGAGGTAGAGGTTGCAGTGAGTTGAGATTGTGCCACTGCTCTCTAGCATGGCGAAAAAAAGAGACAAAAAAATTAAAAAAAAAAAAAAAAAAAATGGAGCCAAAGAATAAAGGGATCCAGGAAAGAGGTGGCTAAGAAAAATGGGGGTTTCCTGGAATATGTACTGCTGATTGAGAGGTCAGAAAAACAATACTATGAAAACATGATCAAAGGTGTAATATGCAAGAAGAAAAAGCAAGTAAGAACAGTAAACTGGGCCAGGTGTGGTGGCTCACGACTATAATCCCAGCACTTTGGGAAGCTGAGGTGGGTGAACTACCTGAGGTCAGGACTTTGAGACCAGCCTGACCAACATGGCAAAACCCTGTCTCTACCAAAAACACAAAAATTAGCCAGATGTGGTGGCACGCGCCTGTAATCCCAGCTACTAAGAAGGCTGAGGCAAGAGACTCACTTGAACCTGGGAGGTGGAGGTTGCAGTGAGCTGAGATTGTGCCATTGCACTCCAGCCTGAGTAAGAGTGAGACTCTGTCTCAAAAAAAGAATAGTAAACTGTTTATAAGTCATGGTTTTTGGTTTTAATATGAGACAACTAACTAGTTAAATCAGAAGGAAGAATCAGTGGGTTTCAAGAAAAAAAAAATGGAATAGATTTTTGCATAATTTGTGGTGTTTGGACTAGAACTCAAGTTTGCATATTTCAACTTCACATTAAGGCCTATTTCAACACGTAGGAAAATGTTTAACATCAAGAGAATAACTTTACTTTGGCAGTACATTTGGCTTTTTTTGGGATTCAGCTATTTTGAGGGTTAATAAACATTTTTGCATATTCATGGTCTTGGTTATTGGCTATTAATTTACTCTTCTTTAAGATAAAAGGGCCAGGGCAGGGGCCGGTGGCTCATGCCTGTAATCCCAGCACTTTGGGAAGCCAAGGCGGGTGGATCACGAGGTCAGGAGATCGAGACCATCCTGGGTAACACGGTGAAACCCTGTGTCTACTAAAAATACAAAAAAATTAGCCAGTGGTAGTGGCGGGTGCCTGTAGTCCCAGCTACTCGGGAGGCTGACGCAGGAGAATGATGTGAACCTGGGAAGTGGATGTTGCAGTGAGCCGAGATCGCGCCACTGTACTCCAGCCTGGGCGACAGAGTGAGACTCTGTCACCAAAAAAAAAAAAAAAAAAGGGGGCTGGATGTGGTGGCTCATGCCTGTAATCCCAGCACCTTGGGAGGCTGAGGTGGGCGGATCACTTGAAGTTAGGAGCTCGAGACCAGCCTGGCCAACATGGTGAAACCCCATCTCTACTAAAAACACACAAAAAAATTGCTGGGTGTGCTTCCGCACATCTGTAATACCAGCTACTTGGGAGGCTAAGGCAGGAGAATCGCTTGAACACGGAAGGCAGAGGTTGTGGTTGCAATGAGGTGAGATCACGCCACTGCACTCCAGCCTGGGCGACAGAGCAAGACTCTGTTTCAAAAGGGCAAATACATACGTAAAATAAAAAAGGCAACTTGCCAGCTCTGATTTTTTTTTTTGAGAGAGAGTCTCGCACTGTCACTCTGGCTGGAGTGCAGTGGTGCAATCTCAGCTCACTGCAAGCTCCGCCTCCCAGGTTCAAGCAATTTTGCGTGCCTCAGCCTCCCAAGTAGCTGGGATTACAGGCACGTGCCACCACGTCTGGCTAATTTTTTTGTATTTTTAGTAAAGACGGGGGTTTCACTATGGCTCAAACTCCTGACCTTGTGATCTGCCCGCCTCAGCCTCCCAAAGAGCTGGGATTACAGGTGTGAGCCACCGCACCCAGCCAACTCTGATCTTATTATTAAAATTGCTGATAGTTGAGCATGAACCAAATAAACATTCATCAGTTCTCTCTCAAAATGATTCCCTAGGATTTCTTTTAATGCAGCTATCACCCCTTCTCCCTTATCATCTCTTACATTGTTTGGACTAATACTTGATTAAATAGAAAGATAGTTTTCTGCAGTTTTTAGTTCAATTCTATTATTAATTTCAGTCATAGCTTTCAAAGGGAGTTATCTCTAGTGTCTTAGTCTATATATAAGATTCCACCCAAGTTATTATTAACCTAAGAAAAAAGGTAAATTTTATGCCCTGGCTTTGGTATATAGTACTAACAAAGGTTCTCAGAATAAGAATGAAAGGCTTTTCAAAGAAGGAGAGAAGGCTAAGGAACTAGGAACTATTCTGGATTAAAGTAAACTAATAAAACTTGAATACAAATATAACAGAGGTTCCTAGACTAGCCTCTGGATTTAAAAAGAAAAAAAGCTAAAGAATACGGGACAATCCAATCCAATGTGAATATAGATTGTATATAGTACCACATCAATGACAGACTTGTACTGTGTAAGTCTGTAAGTAAGTCTGTCATATGGAAAGACAGCATTGTTCTTAGGGAACAGATCCTGAAACATTTTGGGGTGAAGGGTTATGGTATCTATAAACTACTCTCAAACTGTTTAGAAAAAAGTGTTGCAAAATTTCTACAATTGGTGAATCTAGGTGAAAGGTACGGTGGTGTTCATTTAACTAATACATTTTTTTCTACAGATGTGAAACTTTTGAAAATTGAGAACTTGGGGATAATAACATGAACTTTAGACTACGCATTAAATTGTCTTAGGTATGACAATTGCTTTTGTTTTTAGAGGCCAGGTCTCGCTCTGTCTCCCAGGCTGGAGTGCAGTGACACGATCTCGGCTCACTGCAACCTCCGCCTCCCGGGTTGAAGCCATTCTCCTGCCTCAGCCTCCCAAATAGCTGGGACTACAGGTGCCTGCTACCACACCCAGCTCATTTTTTGTATTTTTAGTAGAGACGAGGTTTCACCATGTTAGCCAGGATGGTCTCGATCCCCTGACCTTGTGATCCTCCCGCCTCAGCCTCCCAAAGTGCTGGGATTACAGGCGTGAGCCACCGTGCCCAGCCCCGATTCCTTACTTTTCATCTTTTGTGTTAACTACTGTAGGATTTTGCTCTGTGGTTACCATGAGGCTTACAAAAAAATTTCATAGCTACGACAAGCCATTTTAAGTTGATAAAAATCTGACTGCATTGAAAAACTACACTTCTGCTCTGCCCATCCCACCCCCAATTCTAAATTGGGTGTCACAGTTTCCATCCTAATAACGTACAGTATTCTTGAAAACTGCGGAGAGGAGAATTTAAGTGTTCCCACAACAAAATTAGTAAGTATGTGAGGTAATGTGTATGTGAATTAGCTCAATTAGTCACTCCACAACATATACATATTTCAAAACAACAAGTTGTATACAATAAATATGCACTTTTGGCCAGGCATGGTGGCTCACACATGTCATTGGAACAGTTTGGGAGGCCAAGGCTGGAGGACCACTTGGGCCCAGGAGTTTGAGGTTGCAGTGACCTATGATGGTGCCACTGCACTCCAGCCTAGGTGACAGAGAGAGACCCTGTCTCAAAAAAAAAAAAATAAATACATAAATAAATATATTTATATTTATTTTGTCAAAAATAAGAACTATGGAAAGATACATATACACACACACACACATGCATGCACACATTCATGCATACTTACATACATACTAACTATAGTTCAAGTTTTATCACAAGGGAAAGTGAAGGGAAGACGTGTGACCGCCTTACCGCAGCATCAACATTAGCAGGTGAGTCTCCATTAGGGTCTGCCAGCATAGAAATGACACTAATCATGATGGTTTCCACTGTGTGGATAGGGAGCCAGCGTTCTTCTGGCTTTTCATAACCATACTTATCTTCCCCAGGCTCATGAAGAATAGAAATGCACACATCACCATTTTTATCAACTGCAAAATTCAAGAAGAGGCTTGTTTCATATATTGCTAATTTGGTTATACACAAAATTATCAATTACAAATGTGACCCTGATTCACACAGTGCCTTTATCAAACATGACACATACACAGAAGTTAATGTCCAAAATGGAACGTGTTGACTTTTTTAGGAAGACTATAGTATAGATTTTACCAAATACACAGGATCCATCTGACAAACCCAGTAGGAATGTAAGCTATCTTTTTATTTATGTAAAACATAAAGCTATCTAGTATATAGATGGTGCCTAACATTTACATGTCCTAAGTATAATATAATAAATGAATAAATAGCAACTATTGGATGCATTCTTCATTTGCAGAAAGCATATTTTTCCAAATACCAGCAACTGAGTTTCTATGTAATGGCTTCCTAGTTTCCCCACTAACTTACCGACTTAAATTAGTGATAGTCAAAGGCCGAGAGATTTTCCTAAGAAATGTATTTTTACAATCATATAAAGGCAAAATTGTATTTTCTGGGAAAGGAGTATATTCAAATTCATAAAACAAACATGCTATACTGCCAATGAAAACTCATCAACATATATGACACTCATGAGGCCTCCTTTCCATGAACACATATAATAAGAAAAACATCCTTATTTTTAGGAGACATGTATTGACCTGTTTAAGTGGTTCGGCAAAAAGTAAACTACTACTTATTGATTAAAAAAAAAGATCTTAATCCACTAATTCATTTATACATCATACAAATAATCCCTATTGTGAAACGCATCTTTTATGGTAACGTTTACCCACTGTAAATTTTTTTAAAAGCATACTTTGAGGAAGAAATTTTAGAAAGGAATTTGAGTAGTGACAATATTTATGTATATTTCATTCCTAACTTGAGGAAGAAATTTTAGAAAGGAATTTGAGTAGTGACAATATTTATGTATATTTCATTCCTAACTTATCCTATATAGTCTAACAAATTTGTGAATAAATATAATTCTAAATCTTATTTTTCATTTCATAACATCAGTATTTCTGCTGTTATGAACTCTGGGTAATCAGAATCAAAGTCTGTATATACCAATCAATATCACTGCTCTCTTAATTCAACAAATTCTTATTTTTTGGTGTTGTTTGTTGTTGCTGTTTTGGTTTTTTTCGAGACAGGGTCTCACTTTGTCACCCAGCTGGAGTGCAGTGGTATGATCACAGCTCTATCCAGGCTCAAGCGATCCTCCTGCCTCAGTCCCCGAAGTAGCTGGGACCACAGGCACATGGCATGATGCCTGGCTAACCTGGCTTTTTTTTTTTTGGTAGAGATGGGGTCTCACTATGTCACCCAGGCTGGTCTGAAACTCCTGGCTCTAGCAATCCTCCCACCTCAGTCTCCCAGGTAGTTGGGACCATAGGCACATGGCACCATTCCTGGCTTTTTTTTTTTTTTTTCTTGGTAAAGATATCGTCTTACTATATTGCCCAGGCTGGTCCCACACACTTGGGACACTCCCACATTAGCCTCGCAAAGGGCTGGGATTACAGGAAAGAGCCCCTGCGCCAGCCAACAAATACTTTTTCAATGCCTACTGCATGCCAGGCACACATGTGACAGAGAAGTACAGCAGTGAATATATGACAGGAAAGGCCCACGTCTTCAATGTTTTATGTATGAGTTTTTCTATAATTAAGGTTCCTCTTCCCAATCCATCCCTATCTGCTAGTAAAATCTATTAACTAAAATAGAATCGGGGCAAGAATAACATTGAGGGCCAGGCGTGGTGTCTCAAGCCTGTAATCCCAGCACTTTGGGAGGCCAAGGAGGGTGGATTACCTGCGGTCAGGAGTTCAAGACCAGTCTGGCCAACATGGAGAAATCCCATCTCTACTAAAAATACAAAATTAGCCAGGCATTGTGGCACACGCCTGTAATTCCAGCTACTCGGGAGGCTGGGGCAGCAGAACTGCTTGAAGCCAGGAGGCGGAGGTTGCCGTGAGCCAACATCGCGCCATTGTACTCTAGCCTGGGCAATGAGTGAAACTCCATCTCAAAAAAAAAAAAAAAAAAGACCATCGAAACTTGTAACGCTACAAAGTTCAGCATAGAGTATTACTGTTTTACAATGTTTTCTGTAGTTATTGTGTAATAAGGATTTTTTCCAAATCATTTTTCTTTAAAAACATGCTATTAAGTATGTGCACAGAATTCTAACACCACAATATAAGATCCATTTTTCTTTTTTAAAAAATCAAGCTATCGCTAATCCGGGATCTTTACATTTTTAACCTTCTCATGTCATTTTAAACATACAGTTTATTTTAGAATGAGAAGATTTTTTAGGCTTAATACCTATTATCAAACTATAGTTTAAAGGATTGTATCAATTTATACTGCCATCAGCAATCTGAGATGTCCATTTCATTGCCTCATCAAGATGAACATTTTCCTTTATTGATGCTGTTTAAATTTTATACATGACATCTGGTTTAATTCACTTTTCTAAATGCTTTGGGGTGACAACTTTCCATGGATATAACCTGTATGTCTTTCCTCTTTTGTGAAATGTCTGTTCTTATCCTTTAGCCAGTTATGTACTTAATGTTTACTTTTCTCTTGCCAAAATGTTTCTCAGTTTTCCCCGTATGATTTTTGCTTGTTACTTTTTTCTTTCATTTCAGTGTTCATTAGAGATGGAACTAAGCTACCTGGGCTGGGCACAATGGCTTGGCCCACTGTAATGTACGGCTGGCCTGCAATCCCAGCACTTTGGGAGGCTGAGGTAGGCGGATCTCCTGAGGTCAGGAGTTCGAGACCAGCCTGGCCAACATGGTGAACCCATCTCCAATAACAATACAAGAATTAGCCAGGCTTGGTGGCACACACCTGTAATCCCAGCTACTCAGGAGGCTGAGACAAGTGAATCGCTTGAACCTGGGAGGCGGAGGTTGCAATGAGCCACTGCACTCCAGCCTGGGCGACAGAGTGAGGCTCTGTCTCAAAAAAAAAAAAAACCAAAACCAAAACAAACAAACAAAACTAAGCTACCTAAACAATGCATACACTTCTAGCTATCTCCTTTTTCTTGAAGCCATGCATCTAAAATTCTGAAAAACTGATTTACCCTCATCTTATCTATTTACTTACTACTCGGGTATTCCTTTATTCTCCTAGAAACTGGCTTCTTCTCCTTAGCAGGATGCTACAACTGTGTCCACAAGTGGTCTGGATAACATATTTATTCTCCTGGGTACTTTTACCTACCTGAAGTCACCCCTCTGGGCCAAGACAACTAATACTATGACAACACTTTGCTGGATACATTTTCCTCCCCTGGCATCTGTGGTACTCTTGTTTTCCCCTGGTTCTTGAACCATTGTCTCAGTCACTTTCTAGTTTTCATCTTCCTTAATCTGACCTTGGATGTTATCCTAATCCCCAACATTAACTGTACTTTCCCTAGGAAAATTAGCCCACTCATTATGACGTTATCTATCATCTTGATACAGTAACTTCCAAGGCCCTTAAGCTCATTGCTGAACCCTAGACTAGTTTTACCTAATTATCTAACTGGATATAGCAAGTATACCACAAGAAAAACCTGAATATATGTAAGGTCAGTCATATAAAACTATTTCCCTATAATAATTTTATAACATCTCTATAGTTCACCTACTATACAATTTACCTATTTGAAGAACACAGTTTAATGGTTTCTGTCTAGTATGTCTACAGAGTTGTACAATCAATACCACAATCAATTTTAGACTATTTTCAACCTACAATGAAACCCAGTACCAATTAGCAACCATTCCTCAATCCCCTCACTTCCCCTCCAGGAGTAAGGAACCACTAACCTACTTTCGGTCCCTATGGATTTGCCTATTCTTGACATTTCATATAAAGAGAATCGTAACCTATGTCACCTTTTACGACTGACTTTGTTCACTTAGTATAATGTTTCCAAGGTTCATCTATGTTGTAACATGTATCACTACTTCATTTCTTTCTTTTCTTTT